TTTTCAGAGAGGAAGCCAGGAACAGAAGAGCCCATATCATATCACTTAATGCTGTATCCTTTTTTAATTTACCCTTGTTCGCGCTAACACTGAGGTCTGATGGATCATTTTGACCCAAAGGGCAGGGGGAGGGTTAAGACTGTCATGACACGTCTCATTATTTAGCTAATTTCAAATATTGAAACATTTTTACCAGTGTGACAGACGATCTGAACCTAAACAAATTGGCTCCAGTTTGAGCGACATAAGAAGTTTGTCGGTGACTACATTTTGTATTATGGAGGACAGATGGCTGACTTCAGACGCTCTGCGTAAGTGTTCTGCCTCACAGCTTGAAAATCCATTGTCTGCTGTCTCTCAATAAATTAATGAGAGTTTTTCTGCACCACACCACTGCATGCACATTGCTCTGATTCTGTTAAATGCGTAATTAAAGACAATCCCAGCACTAATTAATCAGTTTATCTGTATTCATTATCCGTTTTGTTTTGTTTTTTCCATTTGAATTTTTGATTTCCTTCAGAGCTAAAGACAAAACAGATCTGGACRTGCTGCGTGACAATCATCGCTTCCTCTGGAGGGATGAAGACGAGGAAGACATGACATGGTGATCACTCGAAGTCAGCTGCTCATTTAATGTGGCTTTAATGTTCTGCTGATCTCTGATTGCTCTTTTCCTTTATTCAGGGTTCCCACGGGTCCTTGAAATCCTTGAAAGTTTGTGAATTTGAAAAAAATTATTTCAAGGCCCTGAAATGTTTGTGAAAACAGCCAAAAATCACACTTGTCCTTGAAAGTCCTTGAATGTTTTTTGGGTATTGAAGTTCTCTATTCACATGACTGATTTTCATCATCTTAAAAAATATATATAAAAATTAAATTAAAAAAGCATACATTTGTTGCAGTGGATAACTCAGGATTACGGCAAACTGACGTCATTGGGCCTCATGCAAGAACATGTTCGTATTCTTATCCTAAATTTCTCTTACTTTTGTTCGTACAAAGGGTTTGTACGAACATGTCACGTCAGATTCAACAAACACTTCTATCTTCAGCAAAAGTGTGTAAATGAGCTGCGTAAATT